CCCAGGGTGCTGGGATGGAGTCATGCATTGGGCTCCTTGCTTGGTGGGGTGCCTGCTTCTCCCTCTGCCACTCCCCCTGCTTGTGTGCTCTCCCTCTCTCTGTGTATCAAATAAATAAAATCTTTAAAAAAAAAAAGACATATGAAACAATAGAACATAATCAAGAGCCAGAAATAAGCCTGTGTATGTGGTCAACTAATATTTGACAAGGGAGCCAGAACACTCAATGGAAAAGACAGTCTCTTAAATAAATGGTGCTGGGAAAATTGGATATCCACATGCAAAAGAATCAAAGTAGATCCCTATCTTATAGTACTTAGAAAAATTAACTCAAAATAGATTGAAGACTTAAATATAGGACCTGCAATCATAAATATCCTACAAGAAAAGAGAGAAAAAGCTTCTTGACATTGGTCTTGGTGATGATTTTTTCTTTATATGACAACTAAAGCACAAACAACAGAAGCAAAATAAAGAAATGGGACTTTATCAGACAAAAAAGCTTCTGCCCAACAAAGGAAAAAATCGACAAAATGAAAATATCCCGAATGGGATAAAATATTTGCAAACCACACATCCAATAGGGGTTAATATCCAAACTATATAAGGAACTCATACAACTAAATAGCAAAAAAGCAAAACAAAGAACATTAAAAAAAATCCAATTTCAAAAGATAGGCAAAAGCAAAAACAAACAAATCTAATTTAAACTTGGGTGGAGGACCTAAACTGACATTTTTTCAAAGCAGACATCCAGATGCCCAAAAGACACATGGAAAGATGCTCAACATCACTCGTCATCAGAGAAATACAAATCAAAACCACAATAAGATATCACTTTATATCTGATGGAATGGTTATTCTCAAAAGACAAGAAATAACAAGTGTTGGTGAGGATGTGGAGAAAAGGGGACCCTTTGTATTCAATCTTTTCCAGGTATTCTGTCAGCTCTTTTTACAGCAGTTTATTTCTATTCAGAATTTTAAATTTGTAAGTTACAGCGTTCTTGCATTTCTATAATTTATTTGACTAAATTCATGTTGGAATGTTGTATTAAGTTTTCTTCTGCTTTGTAGTTTGTTTTGCTTTTTTTTTTTGACATTTTATTTTTTCCCCTAAATAAATTTTTTTATTTCCAAGTTTTTATTTAAATTCCAGTTAATATACAGTGTAGTATTAGTTTCAGGTGTAGAATTTAGCGACTCAACACCTACTGTTCATTACAAGTGCCCTCATTAATGCCAATCACCTATTTCACCCATCCCCCCACTGACCACCCCCTGGTAACCTGCAATTTGTTCTCTATGATTAAGAGTCTGTTTCTTGGTTTGCCTCTCTTTCCCCCCACCCCATGTACGTTTGTCTTGTTTCTTAAATTCCACATATGAGTGAAATCATATGGTATTTGTCTTTTTCTGACTGACTTATTTCACTTAGCATAATACTCTAGTTCCATCCACGTCATTGCAAAGGGCAAGATTTCATTGTTTTTTATGTCTGAGTAATATTCTATTGTATATATATATACCAAACTTCTTTATCTATTCATGAGTCAATGGACATTTGAGTTCTTTCCATAATTTAGCTATTGTTGATAATGCTGCTATACATATCTCAGTGCATGTATCCCTTCAAGTTAGTATTTTTATATCCCCTTGGGTAAATACCTTCAGTGTAACCACTGGATTATAGAGTAGTTCTATTTTTAACTTTTTGAGGAACCTCCATAGTGTTTTCCAGAGTGGCTGCACCAGTTTGTATTCCCACCAACAGTGCAAGAAGATTCCTCTTTCTCCATATCCTCACCAACACCTGTTGTTTCTTGTCTTGTTAACTTTAGCCATTTTGACTTGTGTGAGGTGGTATCTCATTGTGGTTTTGATTTGTATTTCCATGATGAGCAACGTTGAGCATCTTGTTATGTGTCTGTTAGCAATCTGTATGCTTCCTTTTGGAAAATGTCTATTCATGTCTTCTGCCCATTTTTTAACTGGATTATTTGTTTTAGGGGTGTTGAATTTTATAAGTTCTTTATATATTTTGGACACTAACCCTTTTTAAATTATTTTTTAAGTAGGCTCCACACCCAGCGTGGAGACCAATGTGGGACGCGAACTCATGACCCTGAGATCAAGACCTGAGCTGAGATCGAGTCGGATGCTTAACCAACTGAGCCACACCGGCACCCTGGATACTAACCCTTTTTCGGGTAAGTCATTGAAAATATCTTCTCCTATTCTGTAGGTTGCCTTTTAGTTTTGTGGCTTGTTTCCTTCACTGTGCAGAGCCTTTTTATTCTGATATAATCTCAATAGTTTATTTTTGCTTTTGTTTCCCTTGCCTAGGAGACATATGTAGAAAAATGTTGCTATGGCTGATGTCAAAGAGGTTACTGCCTGTGTCCCCTTTTGGAATTTTAATGGTGTCCTGTCTCACATTTAGGTCTTTCATCTATTTTGAATTTATTTCTGTGTATGGTGTAAGAAAGTGGTCCAGTTTTTCCCAACACCATTTGTTGCAGAGATTGTCTTTTTTTTCTATTGGATATTCTTTCCTGTTTGTCAAAGATTAATTGACCATAGAGTTGTGGGTTCGTTTCTGGGTTTTCTATTCTTTTCTATTGATCTGTGTCTATTTTGTACCAATAGTATACTGTCTTGATCACTACAGCTTTGTAATATAACTTGAAGTCTGGAATTGTGATATCTCCAAATTTACTTTTCTTTTTCAAGATTACTTTGACTATTCGAGGTCTTTTGTGGTTCTATACACATTTTAGGATTATTTGTTCTAGCTCTGTGAAAAATGCTGGTAGTATTTTGGTAAGGATTGTGTTGAATGTGTAGATTGCTTTGGGTAGTATAGACTTTTTAACAATATTTGTTCTTCCATTCCATGAGCATGGAATGTCTTTCCATTTCTTTGTGACATCTTCAATTTCTTTCATCAGTGTTCTATAGTTTTCAGAGTACAGATCTTTTACCTCCTTGGTTAGGTTTATTCCTAGGTATCTTGTGGGTTTTGGTGCAATTGTAAATGGGATCAATTCCTTGATTTCTCTTTCTGCTGCTTCTTTATTGGTGTAGAGAAATGCAACAGATTTCTGTACGTTGATTTTGTATAATTGACTTTACTGGATTCATGTATCAGTTCTAACAGTTTAGCGAAGTCTTTTGGGTTTTCTATATAGAGTATCATGTCATCCGCAAATAGTGAACGCTTGATTTCTTCCTTGCTGATTTGGATGCCTTTTGTTTCTTTTTGTTGTTTGACTGCTGAGACTAGGACTTCCAGTGCTCTGCTGAACAACAGTGACGAGAATGGACATCCCTGTCTTGTTCCTGAATTTAGGGGAAAGCTCTCAGCTTTTCCCCATTGAGGATGATATTTGCTGTGGGTTTTTTGTATATGGCCTTTATGATGTTGAGGTATGTTTCCTCTAACCCAGATAAAGTCTCCACTAAAAGAGAGAACTACAGGCCAGTATCTCTGATGAACATGAATGCAAAAATTCTAAATAAAATACTAGCAAACTGAATCCAAGAGTACATTAAAAAAATCATTCACCACAATCAAGTGGGACTTACTCCTGGACTCCAAGGGATTCAATATTCACAAATCGATTAACATGATACTATACCACATTAATAAAAGAAAGGATAAGAACCATATGATCCTTTCAATAGATGCAGAAAGAGCAATCTGACAAAGTACAGCATCCATTCATGCTTTGTTTTTTTTAAAAAGCATTTTCATCAGCTCAAAAAGTTAGATTTAGGGGTGCCTGGGTGGCTCAGTCGTTAAGCGTCTGCCTTCCGCTCAGGTCACGATCCCAGGGTCTGGGATCAAGCCCCACATCGAGCTCCCTGCTCAGCGGGAAGCCTGCTTCTCCCTCTCCCACTCCCCCTGCCTGTGTTCCCTCTCTTGCTGTCTCTCTCTCTGTCAAATAAATAAATAAAATCTTAAAAAAAAAAGTTAGATTTATACTTTGTGGTTTTTTTTAAAGATTTTATTTACTTATTTGTCAGAGAGAGAGAGTGAGTGAGCACAAGCAGGGGGAGTGGCAGGCAGAGGGAGAGGGAGAAGCAGACTCCCCACTAAGCAGGGAGCCAGATGTGGGGCTCGATCCCAGGACCCTGGGATCATGACCTGAGCCGAAGGCAAATGCTCAACTGACTGAGCCACCTAGGTGTCCCAATTTATACTCTCTGTATCCCATTTCTAATATTTCTGTTTATGATGAGGTGTGTTGGCTTTTCCTGACCAGCAGCAACAGACCCAAGAAACTGTACAAGAGGGACCATAACCGTGTTATGGTCTGCCAGGTGGTATGATTAATTGAAATCTCTCTTTAAGGAGTATATCGATCCAGGCCTCCTCTGGGCATTTTCTCTTTAGAAAACAGCTTTAATACTTTTAAAAAGCATTGAGGAACTCAAAGAGCTTTTGTTTACACGTGATATATCTGTCAATATAGAAATTAAAACGAAGACATTTTAAAGATATTTAACCTCTGATAACATGAATTCACCCATTATATGTTGACATACATAGTATCTTTTTATGTAAAAGACTATATTTCCCCCCCAAAAAAGTAGTGAGAAGAGTGGCATTGTTTTTACAGTTTTATAAATCTGTTTCATGTCTGTCTTCATAGGAGACAGCTAGATTCTCATTTCTGCTTCTGTATTCAAACTGTCACAGTGCCCCAGGTCATGTAGCCTCTGGAAAACTCAACTATGCACACATGGGCGAATGAGAGTTAAAAAGGCAAATAATATTTTAGTATTTTCCCCAAAATGGCTTTTTTAAACTACCTGAAAAGGTCTCAGGAATTCCCGGGGGTTCCCCAGATCATACTTTGAGAACTGCTTTTCCTGCTCTCCCCATACTGCCCAGAGATCCATCCGGAGCTGGGAGTGCCATTTTGGTGGCAGGATGACACTGGAATTATGGAATTACTAGTCAACTTTCTTCTCCCCACTTTTACAGAGATAGGTCTCCCTGAAACTTGTAGAGGAAGAAATCCACTGCCAAACCTTGATCTAAAGACTTTTCCCCTCCATGGGCAGTTTTCAGTTTCTGAACACGCGTGTTAGCGGAAGTATCAGGCCTACAGTGTTCATGTTTCAAGTCAAAGGCCCGGCCTCAGATTCCTCAGATAAAGAATTGTTGGAAGAACAAATGGGCTGTCTCCTTGTGGATTTTGGAGGCTCTCCCAAGTATTTTGCTGACAACAAATTTTGCAAGAATGTATTCCCAAACCGATGGCAGATAGACCCACTGTTAGCAATTACATGTGAGACAAGTGGGGTTTTTTTTTAAAATATATATAATTATCTATAAAAACTGTAGATTGGCAGTTCTTGAGGCTGCTGATACAGGAAGACAACATTCTAAGAGTTTGATTTCATCTTCTTTGGGGCCACCTGTGATCTTTTTATTGGCTTGCAGTGCAGCCTGGGCCCAGAAATTGTACCTATAAAGTATTTTTTTATATAAAAATAGGCTCTATTCAAGCTTTTATAGATACAATTTCTGTGCCCAGGAGCCACTGTAAGCCAGTAAAATACACAAATGGTTCAACATGCGTGTTTCATCACTTAACACTTATGTGTTGAATAAATTAATGCCGGATCATTCTCATCTTCCTTAGACAGGTCAGCAGAAGCAGGTCCCTGCTTATGAAGTGTGGAGGTGTTCCAGGAGACAGAAGTGGTTTGCCTTCTTGTGAATTTTGTTCCAGAGCTCATTCAGCTCCGAGGTCCAGGTCCATGCCTTTGTCTCTGGAGATGTGTATACAGACGCTTGATTCTTCCAAGAGGACTGAGTGTGAACATTCTGCAAAACCTTCTCCAATAATCCAAGCCTACAAATGGCCTTCCTGTTCTAACTTCCCAGGTCAGTGACTGAGGGGCCAGCATCTGGCCCATTGTCACCATTGTACTCTGTCATGCTTTTCTCCTATCTCGCCTGGGTTTCCTTCCTTCAGTGAAGTTTTTGGAAAGCAGATGCTTGACAGATGCTTCTTTTATTTTCTCTACAAAGCCTGGAACTGGGTGTAGGATCACTGTGGCCAGTGCTGGGGACTAGAAGTTTAAGCAAGTAGCTACAAGAAGTGGCCCAGACAAAATGGCCCAGAGTTGCTGCACCTTGAGAATAGGGACAATTCTGCCCATCCTCGCGTCCCTCCATTCACTGCCCACCTCCGATTGGCGGAAAAGACCACCACCCGCCTTCTTGGGGGCTCCCTGGGTGGACCCATCTCTCTCCATTTCCACCCACCGCCTCCTCCCAAGTGTGATCCTCACAGGGGCAGGGGTGTGTGTGGCTCGCTTAGCAGAGTCAGAATCAAAGAAACCCCAGTCCGACACCACCCCCTAAAAACGGAAAAGTAATCCAAATCACTGCACATCCAATGCAATAATGTATGCAGAGCTGGGCTTTAATACTCAAGACCTGCACAAATGTCCATGGCGTCACCTGCAGACTCCACTTAGCAGGATGGAAACCCTCCACCTAGGGCCTTCGGACTGTGAGACTCAAGCTGGGTCTCGCCTGTCAGGGGAAGGGCGCAGAGAACCCCAGGTGTTGTGGGGAGGATTAGACGAGGCCACGCTTAGCTGACAGTTTGGCACAAAACCACAAGCAAGTTTTAAAAACAAAACACACACACAGAGAATTCACTACCAAAGGCTCTTGTGAGTTTTGTTAAACTAACATTTCTCAAGGAGAGCCCCAGCTGTGGGGTAGTGAGCTGGGGTTCAACAACAGACACCAGAGAAATTGAAACGGAGCAGTTTACTACTTGGGGGTCCACAGCACGCCTGGGGGTGCCACGCGGGGGTCAAGTCCAGGTGCACGCATAGCGAGCCGCAGAACCGACAGCACAGGCCTCCGTTAGGGCGAGCGGGGGGAGGGCGTTGGCAGTCCTAGGCTAAGGCCTGATTGGTCAATTCAAACAACGAAAAAGCGGGGTTTGGGTGAGGTTCACGGGGGTCTCAGCTAAGGGGCGCACAAGCGGAAGGCTCCGGGAGGCTGGTAGGGGGGTCGCATGGAACTTACCCTCACCTGTGACGTCCAGGGCACGCGCTCACACTCACGGGGAGGCTGGTGTCTGTTCAAGGGCTGCAGGCTGCTGACCCCACAGTGGATGCCGAGGCACTATGATAGAGGGGCTTAGCTAAATCCTCCACAGCTCTTAGAAAGAAACCTCCCCAAAGCCAAAAACAAAAGATAATCCGCTCTCTGGGATATTCCACCCAGAGTACAAAAAACCTTCCTAACATTCTCACCCTCCCTCCAGTGAATCCAATCACCATAGCTATGCACCTGTCTGCAAATCACTAACACGCCCCAGACCCTACTCCCCGGATTCTGCTCCTCCGCTCCTTCTCCGTCCCCAGCAGGCTTTCAGCTTTTTCCAAAGCGCAATCAGGCTGGTAAAGCCCCTTCCCGGCCTCCCCCTCCCCACCACCTACCCGCAAGGCGTGAGCCTGGTGGCCAAATGGAAATGTGTCACAGCTGGGAAAGACAGCCGCCTGTCCGCCCCCCAACTCAAGCTGCCCCCATCCCTGGCCGCCTGGACAAGTTCCCACCTCTCCTGGGACCCTCATTACATACATCAGGCTGTGTGACAGTGTCCCCTGGCTCTTGGATGTTCTTTTTTTTTTCCTTTGTGTTTCAGTTGGGATCATTTCTTTTTTTTTTTAAAGATTTTATTTATTTATTTGAGACAGAGAGCACATGAGAGGGGGGAGGGTCAGAGGGAGAAGCAGGCTCCCTGCCAAGCAGGGAGCCTGATGCCGGACTTGATCCAGGGACTCAATCCAGGGACTCCAGGATCATGACCTGAGCCGAAGGCAGTCGCTTAACCAACTGAGCCACCCAGGCGCCCCAGTTGGGATCATTTCTATTGAGCACCTTCAGGCTCACGGAATTTGTCCTCAGCTGCGCTGGGTCTCCTGATGTTGCGGGGATTTCTCATTGTTAGTGCCGCTTGTGTCTAGAATTTCCATTTGACCCTTTGGCTCTCATCCAAGTCTGATGCTGTTTATTGCTTTGCTCTCAACAATGGAATTATTTTCTGCTTTCCCGTGGGTCTGATGATTTTTTATTTTGAAAGCCAGGTATCACGCATAAAACAAAGATGGAAGGAAATAATTTTACCCCTGGGTTTGTGCGCATCTCTTCTGCTGGGCCCTGTGCAGAGCTGAGCCCATCTAGACTGGACAGAGCAGTCACTGAGAGTACTCCAGGGCAACACCAGCTTCCAAGTCCCTAGTGTCACTGTGCGCCCAGCATGGAGTCCAGGCTGCTAGAGTATTTTCTCAATTGTCCAGTCTTTCTAGTGCCTCATGGAACAGGCCCCACTGCCAGGCAGCTGGTCACTGGTGTCCGTGTTAGCCTCCGGGGTAACATGGGGAGTTCTTGGATGTCCCAGACAGGGGTGAGCTTTGATCCTAGGCAGGCCCTTCATGCCTGGGCCTTGTGGGTGCGCGCGCCTTTCTCAGTGCCTGCCCCTTCTCGTTTCTGGGGTTGGTCTTGGGCGGAAGTTCCCTGCCCCTTCCCAGAAGTAGTGTTGGTATCCTTGTATGTCCAAGCCCTCTCTCCACTCCTTCCTCGAGGGTAGAAGGTTAATGCTTCACCCTCTGCAGCCGTGTGTCTTTGCCTGCGCCCAGGGAGAAAATGTTGGCTGCCTCTCCTCCAGCAAGTTGAGGCTTTTGCCTGTGGGAGGGAAGGGCCTGGGCAGGGGCGGGGTCAGCACCTATCTCAAGGTCACAGCCCATTTCCTGCTGCCCACCAGCTCCACAGACCACACGGGGCTCCTTCTGGCCCCCTGCCTCGCTCCCAGTCTTTCTCGTGAACTCCTACTGGAGGCTGCAAGTTGCTGTGAGTCCATCTGACACACAGCCCCTCACTTGATCTCCAGCACTGGAACATTTTAGCTGATTTCTTCTGGAATGTACAGCACACGCCCCTTCCTCCGGTGCTTTGCCTCCATGAGCCTGCGTACACATTCCACTTCTCCCTTTAGGGGCCTGCCCCTCCTTGGTATTTGGTTTCCAGTTTGCCTTGCAAACTCAGCCAAGTTCAAGGAAAGTTAGGATTTTGTAGTTTGTCGGGCTTTTTTTTTTTCTCATTGGTAGGGACTGAGTAGCATTCCTCCATCCCAGGCAGAAGCAGGAATCCCCTCTTAGACACTCTGTCCTCCTCCACTCCATTTCCCACACTACCCAGAGGGATAAAAGTCATGACACATCTCGCCTTCAATCCTTTTGGTGGCTTCCTGTCCCTCTTAGGACAGCCAAAATCCCTTAGGAGGCCTAGACGTGGCCCCTGCCTACCCCCTCCACTTTAATTTGTCCCAATTCCCTCTTCGCTCTCCAAACGGCAGCTGTTAGCCTGTGCTTGTTCTATTCCCCCTTCCCCTGCTGCCTCTCTCCTTTTGCCAGCCTTGTCCCTATTCATTTGGATCTCAGAGTCCACTCCATTTCCCCAGGGAGACCTTGCTTGCCCCCCAACCCCCGCCATCATGCTCACAGATCACCCTGACCCTGGCGGCACTTGGCGCCTCTAGTTGCCTCCCAGCCAAATGCCTAAGTTACAGAAGTAATGAGATTGTTTGTTTATCCGCATGTCCCCAGTGTTGAACCCAGCACCCAGCACCCAGCTCAGTGAATACTAAATGCTGTTGTTGTGACCACTGAGAACTGGGCGGAACCAACCCCGGGCCCTGCTTGCGTGAACCTGCTTTTGCTCTGCCGGTGACAACCATCTGCTGACCACGGAGAGCTGGGAAATAGGGCGACGTTTCTGGGGAATGACAGTGCAAGGTACTGGCTGGTACCAGCCTCACCCGGAGTTGGAATTGGGTGTCCAGGCGCCATTGTGCTTCCACCTGCATTGTTCTAGAAGTCAGATGACCTTAGAAAATGGCCTGGCCCACAGCGAGTCTCAGACAGGTACTGACAGGGGCAGGTACCACTAGTTAAAAAAAAAAAAAAGGTCTGTATTGCTGGAAATAGCAAAAGGGAAAGCAGTGAGGATGCACCACATTTCCTTTAAGTGAAGTTATTAACCGGGAGAGGCTCCGAGGTGTTGTGTATGGAAAGTTACTCACCGGCTCTTTTCAGTTTCCTGCTCTGATATGCCATCTGAGGCTGTTCCTTCTTGCGGTTCAACATGTTTTGTTGGATCTAAAAATGTAGCAAAGGTGAAACTGTTTTGATGGTTTGGGGTATTTTGAGAGATTTGTTTGATGATTTTCAGCTAATATCAACTAGCTGTCACTGCAACAAGTGGAAATTTGGCCCAGGTTTTATTTAGCGTAAATGGAGAGAGGTCAGTCGTGTGGGAAGTGAGAGAATGCACCTAATACCATTGTGTCCTGATGGGTCTTGGAGAAATTAAAAATACAGGACGTACAGAACATGAGACCTTAGAAGTAATTCTACCACCGGTGTCAGCTTTAGAAAAGCAGTATCTGGAAGTAAATCTTTTTGTTGGTGGTGTTAAGCATCATTTGTTGTTAAATGTAATTTTGGTTATTTTTAGCCTGGAAAGATGTAACTGGTGGAAGTTTTGATTTTCATGCACTCCCAGGAAATTACTTTTATCTTACGGAAACTTCCGATGAGACCTTCATCAAGAACTACGTAACCGAGTGTCTAGAACTATTGATACTTGCCTATTTTTAGAGATTTTTCCTTTCAGTTTGAAGAGGGTCCAAAGTGATTATATGATACTCTTTTTAATTTTTTAGTAGTTCATTAGTTTTTTTCAGAGGTTGTGAAATTATTCTTTTGCTACTACCGGGCTGATGTGTGACACATAAATGTATTTCTTCACAGAGCGCTTATGGATCCAGAGACAGAAGACAACAAAGGAGTAAAGAATACTTCCGGCAGGGTCCTTTATCTTCCTATCAGAATCTCATTTGAGTCTTATCTGTGGGAAGTTTGTCAACAAAACTTCTGCTTGGTAAATTATCCATTTTTTCCCTTAATTATTTTAACAGTGGAAATGAGAACCAGGGAAGATGCTAGAAAACAAATTGTTCCATCAGCACATGGTGGTGCAAAGCTTGATCCAATCTTTGAAATTAGGGTCATCCCCTTTAATGAGAAAATGTAACCTACTGCTTTATTAAAATAAGATAGTCCTGAGCCATCATTGGTGCCTCGACTGAGTGGGCAAGTCCTCAGAATGCCCCTAAGCCCGGGCCCCCTCCTCACGAGCTTCTCCAACACAGGGCCTGGTGGCTCTGTGGGTGCTGCTCCTGTCCCCCGACCCTGGCAGTGACTGACTAGGGCCAATGGGAGTCCTCCCATGGACAGCCAGTCTGGCGTCTGGCCCCTGGTGTGTGGAGGGGCCCAGCACAAATGCCATGCCTGACAGGATGCCTCAGCCTTGCTCTGTGACAGTTTGCAGTTGACATAAGGAGAAAGCAGAACAGTTGGGAAAAACAGGAGCTAAAAGGGGAAAAAGCAGAAGTCGTGAAAATTCGCTGAGTCCAAATAAGGCAGAACACTACAAATGGGATTCACAGTCGCCGGTCGATAGGAATGAAGGGGCACCGCCCCCTTGGAGCTGCATGGCTCCTGCAGTCTCTGGTGAGTCCCAAACTGTGTTTGGCTCTTGGAATCCTGGTGCTGATTTCCTATGTCCCGTGGGATCTTCACAATAAACTCCACTACTTGGTGTCACTGATGTCTCTTCCTTAAGGCTTAAAGTACTTAACACAGCAATATATATTAAGGTTAAATTTTAAAGCATCTATTTGTTTATGATCACATAAGATGGGTTCATGTTTATGTTAAGATTTTAAAATCCTATACATAGAATCTTTGATTGAGCAAAATGCATACAGGACACGTTTTACAGAATTTATCATTCCTTTCTAACAAAGGGCAAATCATATGAAAAATTCATTGTGGGAGGAGTTAGAATTCATGCAATCAACTTGGGCTAAAAATAGGCTGAAGGAAATTATGATACATGTTTAGTACCTGCTGTGCTTTACCCTTTGGTGTGACACCATTTCCAGGGCTCCCTTATGGAAGCATGGGCACAAAAGTAATTTGATTTGTGATTATTCATTTGAAAAGTTTTTAGTTAATATGGTCCACAACGGGAATCACATGGTGTAGCCAATGGCAGACTTTTGGGGTGGGCCTTCTCACCTGCCTCTCCACCCGGTAGAGGTGAAGTCCACGTGGGAAGAGCTCTGAGAGCTTCCAAGCTCTCCATTGAAGAAGCAGCCCTGTCGTTGCTGACGTCTCCCTTTTCTTGCATTTGGATGTTGACTTCATCATGGCAGACTCCCGAAAATCTTCAGGTAAGACTTAGTAAAGATGAGAACCATCTTTATGTTCTAAAATTTTCCAGAATAGGAATCAAGCTAGATTCGTTTTTCATGAAACTTTTTATTTGGAGATAACTGTAGATTCACATAATACAGAACTACCCACTATGATATTCCAGACTCTGCATTTTCACTCCAATAAAAATGAATGTAAGAGCACAGTAGTTGTATGTTTTATTATCACTAGATACTACATTTAATTTTTCTGTCTTAAATGTAAAAATTTAAAGAAAAATAATTGAAAGATGGCTTTTTTCTTTCTTTGAATAGTTGTGGACTCGTAAGTTTATTTTTAAAATTTTTAGTTTATTTGTTGTTAGGTTTTATATAATGTATGCTTTAAATTGAAGGGTAGGATAATTAGTTACCTCAATTATCAATTCTCAATTATCTGAAGAATCATTCAATTCTTACAACCCTGTGAGACTGATTTTTCCCCTCTACTCTATAGATGAGGCTTAGCAAGGTTAAGTAATTTGTCTCAGGTCACCTACTAAAGAATTACAGAGTATGGACTGGAACCAGGTATGCTTATGATTTCCAAGGCCCCAAGCCAGTGAGAATCCCAAAGTTACATAGTGCAACAAAGGAAGAACCTTGTTATTGGTTCTTAATAAACTGTTTTGATCATATACCAATAATACTAACTCACTGTAGAAAAACAGATAAGCCAAAAAAAAAATTGTAAATGTTTTGTGACATACTACCAGAGCAATACTTTTTTAAAAATCCTCTGGTTTTAGCAAGTAAAATTTCATTAAATACATAGTTTCAGCATACCTCTAATTAAGGATTACAATTCATGTTAACAGCAAACATACTCATGACATGAAAAGAGTTAACAGTGCATTTCTTCCTTAGATGTTAAGAAATGATACCATTATGAAGGCTTCAAAAGAAAAACTTTCTCATAGATGAACTTTAAATTCCATATTTTTCTATCAGCTTTTTTGCTTTAGAAATATAGGCACTCATGGCATCTTCCTTCAACCGCCCTAGAAAGACACAAACAGATTATCTCACTGACTGATGTATTGGGAAATTAAGAAAGTTTATTTCACTTATTTAAGAATTAACAACCTTTTTGGAGGTTCCATGCTTCCCATTTAGCCTTGCCTTTTAAATCTAACATTCCTGGACACTCTGCCAAAAGAAGGATAGACATATTTTCAAGTTTACTTTTTACTCGATGCTTTTATAAACATTGTTCAGATGAAATGTATTTTTAAAAATATGATTTTAAAAATATTATTAATATATTAATAATATATGTTACATTTTAATATATATAGACATATATACACACACACACACACACACAATACCAATATTAATGTCTCCAACTACAGATTGTTTGTAGAGCCCATAGAGTTCTTTCAGTTCTTCATCATCTGGTCTTGTTTTCAGCTTCCTCACATCTTCTGCAATCCTATCAAAATCAGCCTAGAACAAAAGGAAGAAAAGGCAAACGGTGCATTCACTAACTTTCAACAGGCTCATCTAATTTAGGGGTATTTACCACCAAACAGTGGCAACACAAAAAGAAAGAGGAAGGTTTCAAACAGAACTATTACTGGTCTGATTCTACCAGAATTATCCTAATTATTTTAATTTATGGATACCTCTCCTGGTACATACCTGATACTCAGACAAGATATGGAGAACTACATAAAACTGTTATAAGTGAAAATTCCTTTTTTTTTTTTAGTAGGCTCGCATGGAGCCCAATGTAGGGTTGAATCCACGACCCTGAGATTAAGACCTGGGCTGAGATCAAGAGTTGGATGCTTAACTGACTGAGCCACCCAGGCACCCTAATACTGAAATTTCTCAATACTGAAAATTTTAAAACTTTAAAAATTTTTAAAAATTTTTAAAACTGAAAAAGACATAAATAAATGCAAGATATTCTATGCTCATGAATTGGAAGAAATATTATTGTTTAAATGTCCATACTACCTAAAGCTATCTACCGATTCATTGCAATCAATCCTTATCAACATTCTAATGGCATATTTTACAGAAGTAGAAAAAACAATCTTAAAGTTTGTATAGAGCCACAAAAGACCCTGAACAGCCAAAACAACTTTTTTTTTAAAGATTTTATTTATTTATTTGAGAGAGAGAATGAGATAGAGCGAGCATGAGAGGGGGGAGGGTCAGAGGGAGAAGCAGACTCCCTGCTGAGCAGGGAGCCCGATGCGGGACTCGATCCCGGGACTCCAGGATCATGACGTGAGCCGAAGGCAGTCGCTTAACCAACTGAGCCACCCAGGCGCCCCAGCCAAAACAATCTTGAGAAAGAATAACAAAGCTGGAGTCATGCTGTGTCCCAATTTCCAACTATATTACAAAGTTATACTAATCAAAACGGTATGGTATTGACCTAAAAACAAACAGATCAATGAAACAGAATAGAGAGCCCAGAAATAAAAGCATGCGTATATGGTCGATTAATTAATGACAAAGGAGCCAAGAATGTAGAATGGGGAAAGGTGAGTCATTAAACAAATGGTTCTGGGACAACCTGACAGCTACAGACAAAAGACCAAAACTGGACCACAAGCTGACACTATGCACAAAACCCAGCTCAAAGGATTTAATGTAAGGTCAAGTAAGACCTTTTGTTTAGATCTTGAATGTAAGACCTAAGACCACAAAACTCCTCGATAGAAAACAGAAGGGATAAGCTCCTGGACACTGGTCTCAGCTATGACTGTTTGGATCTGACACCAAGAGCAAAGGCTACACAAACAAAAATAAAGAAGTGAGACTCCATTGAACTAGAAAGCTTCTGCACAGTAAAGAAAAGCATCAACAAAATGAAAAGGAAACCTATGGAATGGGAGAAAATATTTGCAAATCATTTATCTTTAAAAAGTGGTTAATATCCAAAATATATAAAGAACTTATACCACTCAGGAGCAAAAAGAAAAAAAACCAATTAAAAAATGGGCAAAGGAACTAAATAGACATTTTTCCCAAAGACATACAAATGGAGGCGGTTTGATGCTGCCTGGGCCATGGTGCAGCTCCAGCCTTGTAGCTCCCACACCCCTGCATCAGTGATGGTGGAGGAGGGCCAGCATGCCTGGGGGAGGGGAGGAGGGAGAGGTCTTGCCTGGGTGGGGTTCAGGGGGTGGGGAGGAGAAGGCAGAGCACCACCTATTGGTCCGGCAGCACCCCAATGCCTGTCAGGGAGGAGCTGACTGACCAGCACCCAGGAAGAAGCACAAAGGGGAGCAGCAGGTTGGGGAGAAAGCACTCTTGAAGAAGACGAGCTGTCCATCCCTCAAAGAAAACTCCTTCCAGATTACATTCTGGAGAAGTTAACTACAGTTGGACAGACTAACATAATGACATCATCAGAAAATTTGAAAGAAACTCATTTGCAGAAGAAAAATGAAGAATGTGAAAAAGGAAGTGATTCCAAGAAAGCTGGAAAAAGGTACAAAAAGTACAGTCTATGGGCCAGAATAAAAGCCACTTGGCTCTAAGGCTAGAAGATCAAGATCTGAGAGATTCAAGGCAATAAGCAACGAAAGCCTTTAGAGAGAATTCTTTATATGGTTCCAGAAGCAACAGAACTACTGTAAATAAGTTCCTATGTCTTGAAAATAAGAGGTTACCAGGGAAAAGGGCCACCACCCAGTTTCTGAATAATGCTTGGGGAACTCAGAAAAAAAAAAAAAATGCCAAGAGGTTTAAAAGACAGTGGCTGGTCAGAAACATGAAAAATTCTAAGAAGTAAATCAAAGCTAAATGAAAAATGAGAACTTGTATGTATAGAGCTTATTCAGTTTAAAGAATTATTTTTTTCTGAAAAAATCCAATAAATCATTTATAAATTAAAATAAATAAAGAGGGTGCCTGGGTGGCTCAGTTGGTTGAGCAACTGCCTTCGGCTCAGGTCATGATCCTGGAGTCCCGGGATCGAGTCCCACATCGGGCTCCCTGCTCAGCAGGGAGTCTGCTTCTCCCTCTGACCCTCCCTGCTCTCATGCTCTCTCTCTTATTCTCTCTCTCAAATAAATAAATAAAATCTTTAAAAATAAATAAATAAATAAAGACATACAAATGCCATGTGATTCAGCAATTCCACCTCTGGGTATATATCCAAAGGAAGCAAAGTCCCTACCTCACAGTGATGCTGGCACCCCCATGTTCACTGCATCATTCTTTACAACAGTTAAGACATGGAAATTACAACCTAAGTGCCCGATGATGGATGGATAAAGAAAATATGGTATATATAGACATGCACACACATAATGGAATATTATTCAGCCATAAAAAGGAAGGAGATCCTGCCATTTGCAGCAACATGGATGGACCTTGAGAGCATTATGTGAGGTGAAGTAAGTCACACAGAGACAGACAAATACTGTAGGACCTCACTTACATGTGGAATCTAAAATAACTACACTTAGAAAAACAGAGGATAGATTGGCAGTTGCCAGAGGTGGGTGAAGGGTGGGGGAAATGGGTGAATGTGGTCAAAAGGAGGGGGAAAAAATCTATCAAGAGAAATTTTAATACATATTTCTTTTTATTTTTTTTAAAGATTTATTGATTTATTTGAGGCAGGGGGCAGAGGGGAAGAGAGAGAGAGGAAGAGAATCCCAAGCAGACTCCCTGCTGAGCATGGAGCCCGACAAGGGGCTGGAACCCACAACCTGGAGATCACAACCTGAGCAGAAACTAAAAGTCAGATGCTCAACTGACTGAGCCATCCAGGTGCCCCTACACATTTCTTTTTATAAGTTAAAAGCATATAAATTCCACAAATTGGAATATTCCACACAAAGGAATGTCTATGTGCTCCCAGGACTTTAAGATTTTATTTTTTATTTCTTTGAGTTATCGCTACCCCCAACGTGGGGTTCAAACGCAGAATCCTGAGATCAAGAGTTGTATGCTCCACTAAGCCAGCCTCCTATGTGCTCCTAGCTTTATCCCTTCTCTTTTAACCTCTTTGTTTACCTAAAAAGGGCTTTGGTGACTACTTCCTTAATATAATTTTTCTATTCTTTTTTTAAAAATACACTGTATTTTACTTTGTGTTATTTAAATCAGGGAGAGGCAGGAAATGTCACCAGCCTGGGTATCAAACAAGAGAAGCTCAAGGAGACATTCTATACCCCCATCCTCCATTGTCTTTCTCCAGTGCATAGCTCCCTTTGATCCAAAGTCCTAGTAGAGAAAGTGGATAGCCCCACTGTCCCGTCAGAACCCCAGGGAGCTCAGCAGAGTTGCGGGATCAAGTTTCCATCCAGCGCCAGAGACAGGACAGTGGCACAGCTATAGCAGTTGTCTGGTGATGAACAGACATCACTTGTAAATCAGAGACCTGGCTCTCCAACCTAAATAACCTTGAAAAGGGCCCGGGGGTCTAAGAAGCATGGGTGCATGTGACAAGGGTCACACACCATGCCTCACCTTTCTGAGTGTCCTTCTAGGAAGTTGTCAACTGCTTCAAACAATGTCAGGGTTAAGAACACAGGTTCTAGGGGCGCCTGGGTGGCTCAGTCAGTTGAGCATCCTGAGATGGTGTAGGCTTGTAGACCCCTTGCAGGCCAGGGTCATTTGAGGACTGCACTGAGGTTAAGGATGGCCAGGCAGGCCTAGGCCAGGAGGAGAAAATGTTCTCTTCCCCTTATCTCATGTTGCAAGTCCTAAATGCCTGGATCAGCAGGAAGTGGCTCTTGCCTCGCTTAAAGTGTGTCTTTCTAATCAGAAGTGTTCTTTCTAAAGACAAAGAACATGTTGTCTCCAAAGGAAGGATGGCTAAGAGAATTCTTTATTCTGCAAGCATAAACAGGATGTATTTTGTTCTTATTGCATTTTGTGTATATTTCACTTCACAGATGTTGGCTTGATACATTGTTATGTTTATCTGATCTCTGCGAGTATATAGCTATGTGAGAAATAAACGGCAGTATGCAGTTGCAAGTGCTGCCTTTGCTCTGCATCCCCTGTGTCCTGGTGATTTCGTAGACCCTTACCCAGGGACCCCAACGCACTAGACGTTGACAATTGGCGCCCGAACAGGGACCCTGAAGGACGTTCAGGAAGGGTGAGTAACTTAAGTACAGGGTGATGGGACAAGAAACTTCTACTCCTTATGTTCGAATGCTGAAGCATTCACTTGCTGTCTATGGTATTACTGTCGCTTCTAATGATACTGAGCTGTGTTTGAAGGTTTTTCAGCAGGTTATGGCTATGACGGAAGAGTCTAAGAAACCCTCTAGGAAGCCCTCTGCTCCGCCTTTGCCGTCTGTACCAGCTCTTTCTTCTAAAAATCCTTTCCTTTCTGCTGCTTTAGCTGAGCTTGATGCGCTAGAGGATAGCGATGATGAGGGTGGCGCAGCTAATTCTGTCTTTGCTTTTCCTGTTATTAGGCCTCCCCCGGTCCAGGGAATGGCACAAGCACCATATTATGA